GAAGACGCGGGCGTTGCTTTGGCCTCTCCAGCAACTGGCACGAGTGTTGACACCATAAGCAATCTGAAATGTTAGTGATTACCGGGCAGTTGTTGTAGAAACACAAGTGACAAGCACAGGCTCAAACTGAAGTCCCTAGTTCTGTGTTTTTACTCATGTGGTCGGGGTTGTTTGATGTCGAATTAAAATGGTCTGTAGCTGATGGATGATGGAAACCACTTCAACAAAACTGAAATGCGCTGGTTAGCTCCTTGTCGTGTTGGTTTTAAACCCTATAAGAATTCCCTGGTGTGCGCGCAGTACCAGACTCAAAGTAGGACTGGAACGACACCAGGCTCCACATCTCTGATCTGGAAAGCTCTAACGTGAGGTGTTAGCGGTGAAGCATGTGAGGACTGTTCCCTCCCGCTCAGTTACAGCAGAGCTGCTTCATTCTTTTACGTTAGCTGATTTTTTATAGCGGTTGATTCAAATCATGAGCTGCCAATTAAATTCTGGGTGTGACTTTTTTTTCAGCTCTGTTTTGATGATAAACATATTGTCCAATATCTAGATGTGCATAAGAGAAAAGGACCAAAATAAGTCCAGGAAAAAAAATTGGAACAAACGATAACTGTTAAAGCATGACTTGGAGTTTCAGAAATGCAGCAGAATTTTGCTAAGTTCCACAGTGAGCCCTTTGGGCATTAGCATATTACCAAATTTTACAAATTAATAATATGCTTAATAAATAAAACAAAAACAGTGTTTTGCAGCACCAAATAAGTAGAGTACCTCTTAACAAATGCAGTTTATTTTATTTGATATCTCTCTAGATGCTGGTACAGTGCTTAGAACATGTAGTCAAGCTGCATGTTGTTATGAGATTGAGAACTTGTGCATATAAATTATGTGCGGAGACTTACAGGTCTTTCTGATATACTTGTAAAATATAACCATTTCCATTAGTGGAATGTCAAAAACTTAAATTTAAATAACATAATATGCTATTTCATTTTGGTACGTACTGTAGAAATGGCCCTTACACATGGTGACCGATGCACTTTTTCAAGACAACACAGGAATTCTTGACCCTCCTTATCATGTCTGTTTTCTCTGGCTGTATGGTTCCAGTGATCAAGGCAGATGACACAGCACCTACACTTAATTCAGCTTGGGAAAGTAAATTGAAGATCTAGTCTTAAGATTTGACTGCATGGGTTTTCATTATGCCTTTCTTCACAAATTAGCTACTTCATTTGGTTTAATGCCTATCAAAAGCTTTACACAAGCATGCACAGTTTGCCATTTGTATCTGGGATCAAAGATGAGCTATAATGATTACATTCTTCCCTTGGGTATATCTTTTAATGACAGAATTTGCCAAAGAACCTATGTTGAGTGACTTTCAATTAGATTTTGGCATCAGTTTGTCCTGTTGTATCTAGATTTTGCAAGGCATTTAAATCACCATTGTTGTCTCCTGTTATATTTAATTGCAAGGTAGTGACAGATACTTGTGCTTCTCTGATTATATCAGAGTAATGTCTCAAAACAGATTTTAAGCCCTGTGGCTATTGATAACATTTAGTCCTAATCTTCCTTTTTCATGCCCATTTTGTCATGTAACATGGCCACATTAATTATTACACGAAGTACATGAAGAAACTGGTAACCAAAAGTTTTGATCTGCAGCTGATCCCTTCCTTGTAAGAAGTAAAACGGTAATCTTGACCAGATTCTCTTTTAAACATAGTAATGTAGATCCTCATGAGCTAAGGATTTCACTCTTAAAAACTATATGCTGGTTTGTTACTGCAAACTTGTTTCTGACTTTGGATTTCCATACTGCCCCTGGAACCAGTATAACAGATTCAAGTGTGATGTGGCCCCCCTGCAACAAGACTGGTCATGTCTGGGTCACCTGAGGCAGTCCCCTGTGCTGTGAAGGTTGCTGCATACATGCTGGATAGCTGGTTTCTTTCCATGCTGAACATCCTAGAGGTTGTCTTAAGCAGAATACCAATGTTGCAGTTTGTGCCTTGAACCGTCCTTCGTTTGCTTTGCCTGCATGCTGTCAGTAACCGTGAGGAGCCTGTCATTGCAATGGCCAGTATAAAGCAGTGAGGACTCAAGTTGCACATTCTCCTTTCCACAGCACTGACCTTGCTCACTGGGGCTCCAGCAGCGTTTCACATTAGTACCTTGTCATTACCTATTTTCAGGTAGTACATGATATGCATATCCATTGTCCTTTGCAAGAAGCCAGTGGATAGTGTTTCACAGTAACTGTCCATGGGGCATCTTTGTACTGAATACCTATTGTGTCATTAATATTTGAAAGTATACAGGTGCTTATGTTGCTAGAGTCCAAATGAAAAGAAAAAGAGCTCTCTGCTTTTCATATAGTATCAATAATTAAAATAGTGATAAACAGTAACATTTGTAAACGTTAGCTTGAGTCTGAACTAACTTCCTATACTCTTCCCATTTCATTCTCTTTGCTGCAGCCTTTATTTTTGTCCGTTTGCCTTTGCATGTCTCCTTGTCCAGAAATTGCCATCTCTCCTTTTAAAAAAACAAAGAAACCCTATTGAGTCCTTTAACTAAACTGTAGTTCCGTATTTTGTATTTGTTTTCTCTCAGATTGTAAACTTTATGCAACTGGGAATGTATCTTACTTTGTTTACCAATTGTCACTGTTATTTATGGCAGCCTGTTCAAGGCTTTTGATTCCTGTGGGATAGTCATTTTTTTCTTTAACAGTTTTTTTTATGTATTAAGTTATATTGAGGTAAGACAGGCAATATGTTTAATAGCTGACTAATTTTTTTCTAACTCAACCTTTGGTCTTGCTCCATGACAAGCCATTCAGTTTGAGTTAACTGCATCTAGTGTGTGGACAGGGCTCAGGTTATGGACTGTATCTGAGATATAAGTTAATTTTGTGTTGAAGATGAGTCTTGATTGGGGTATGAGAGTGGCTTTTTCATTTTGGTTTCTGTTGCTTGAGACAAGTAAGATTAAACTGAAAAAAGCCAGTCATGTACTGAAATAATGCACCCACAACGGCTGCTGAAGGAATATTTCTCCTTTTTTTTTTTTTCTTTAATTCTTTTCATTCCTACTCACCTATCACAGTTTCTCTGCCCCAGTAAAATAGTATGATGCTCTTAAACCTTTGAATTTTAAATTCCATCTTCCAGCATTTTGGGGAATATAATTCAGTACTGCAGCTTACTTTGTTCTTAAAAACATTAGCTATATTTTATCTGCAAGACTAGAGTGTCAAGGCTTAATAGAAGTATCTTTCTTTGGCTTATTTTTAAAGCATGGGTTGCATGTTTGATGGGAGAAGATGCACTTCCTTGAACTCAAAGGGGAAATCATATCACAGGGGAAATCAGAGCAAGAATCCAAGAGTTGTAAAGAATTGGCTCCAGATATGGCTTTTTTTACGTTCATATCTATTGGGATCTTGCTGGAACCAGTGTGCTCTCAAGTGGTATGGTCTCCATGTTTCAACAATTAGTTTTCATTAGTAGGGTTAGACTACAAACCATGTTATAGGGTGAATTTGTAAACCATGCCACTGTTGTTAAAATGCATCTTCTGCATAAATAAGATTTAATAATTCGGTGTAAAACTGTTTCCTTGACATTTTCTAATTGTGTGCAGTAATCACAAAGAGTGCAGCTGTGGTTAGGAGGTAAATGAGTCCTAACATCTTGAAACAAGATTAAGTCACCTTTGCATGGGAACTGTGGATCAGTTGCACAAGACTAAAAAGGTAAAGGGGTCTGTTTTTCAGTTTAAATTGAAAGCAAATGATAAGACAAATTAGAAGTTTAAAAGATCTTTTTTAATATAGAAAACTTGAAAACATTATGGTTCCTGTAGAGGTGACATGCAAGGGTTCAATGTGTGTGAAAGAGGGGGAAGCTGATATGAAGAGCTAGGCCTTTCTTCTGTATGTGTGAAGGAGATCAAATATGTGTTGAAGTTTTCTCCTTTTTTAAGTAGTATCAGGAATTTAACACTTGATCTTTCCTAATCTTATTAAAGAAATAGCTAAATGACTTAAGTGTGTTTTGAGAACATTTTCAGCCTTTCGTTGTAGAAGGAGAGAGATTTTAAAGAGACTATTTTAATTAATAAAAACAAACCAAAATGAGTTTAAAATAGTCTCATTTAATTTCCTTGATATAACTGGTGCGTTAAACAGTGTTCCCATGCTCTGTGCTGAAAAATGGCGGTGGGGGGCTTTGAATGAAAGCTCGTTGAACAGCCATAGGGATGCTAATGCACGTGACACTCGGGCACTTCTAATTAGCGTGGCTTGCTAATTAAAGTGCCCCTCACCTCCCAGGGGCATGTCTATGAACCTTTATCGCTAGTGACAGAAATTAAACATAAACCAAAAAAGTGATCAGAAATTGGTTCCAATTTCTAGCACAACAGAAATTTAGTACATTTAAACCATTTTCAAAATGGCCAGAACCAGTTTAAAATAAATCTGGATTGATGTAGTATCAGACTTATCTGATCTAGCTTAAATCGGTTTATTGACCTTCTCTCCCAGATCCCCTCCAGATTCAGGTTTACGCTCAGTCCCTCTGCATCCCAGGATGCTTTGCATTCCCCCCCCCCCCCCACAGGGTGAGCAGGCTAGCCTTGGCCCAAGCTGTCTGCTCCAGCGGAGCAGGGAGGTATGCTCTGGCGCCCTCCTAGGTTCTGGCCTGGGCCCTGCAGGCATGTGGCTACATTTCCTGAATCACATGTGAATGTCTGTTCACTTGCTTATTGGTTCAATCTACGCAGTTTAAACTAACCTGTGAAAATTAAATTGGTTCAGCCTTGGGTTTTTTGATTGTCTGTACTTAGCAAAGTTACATCTTTAAGGCTCCGTTTTATAATGGTCAAAACTCTATATAGATGCAGTTGTGTTAGCTAAAAAATATTATTGCCTTATATTATCTCTTATCTCATCTGGGGAACTAGTTTAATAAACTATGCTGGCAAAATTACTGGTTTATCTATATAATCTGTATGCACTAGCAGGGTTTGTTAGTTTAGCTATATAGGCAAAAAAATATATGTTAATGTAGAGTAAACCTTTGGCCTGATTCCATGCAACGAAGAATATAGAATGCAAACAATAAAGCATACTTAAAAAAATGTTACTTACACCTCATGTCTCTTCAGATTTTTCCTACCATCATACACAGAAGCACTCATGGTTGGGTAACTTTGATTAGTCATTCCTCCACAGAAATAATGAGACTGCAAAGTAGCCACAGGTTAAACAGTGAAAGTAGTAAAAATAGAAATCCTGTTATGTGGTTAAGCCCTTAGAGAACCTTAATTTCCATGTTAAATTTGCATGTTTTTAGGAGGCTGCTGTGGAAATCAGATAGGAGCCTTACAGCATAATGTGATAGGTGAAAATGAAATCATAGCAGAGGGTGTGCTTTTTGTAAATGCAAGAACAGGTAAGCAAACCAGTCTAGATTGTTTGTGTGTCTCAGTATGTCCAAAACCAAGGTGACTATTCTGATCATGCGACTATGGGGGTGTGTTTAGATAATAACGGTGCCCTTGATTGCACTTCTATCAAAGCTTGATGTAGTGGGGACAAGCAAGATACTGGCAGCAGAGCATAAAATAACTACGTGCTATGCCTGGCCATTTAGGGTACTCATTACCCAGATTAGACAGTGTTAAGTCACCTATAAAAGGTGACTTTATGCTGGTTTATAACTAGACAGATCAAATCCCTAAAATTCTGTATCTTAAAGTTAGTGGGGTGTGAATTTTCACAAACCAAATGCTTGAAAAAAGAAAAATGCAAATAATGCTATGAAAAAATAGAGAGTAGCTATTTGTTCTCCATGCACAGGCTTGTTCTGTGACTGAAGCATGAGGACTGCAAGGAAGGGTGCCTTTCATGAAACCCTGAAGCAAATAGAATACTAAATTCCTGAAGTTGGGATTAAAGAGATATTTGTTCACATGGATCCCTTTACTGGCTAGTCCCACTATAATTCTTGATGTATTTGCCCAATAATTTCTCTCTCTTAGTGTTAGTGCAACTGCAGTTTGAATAAGGAATGCTTGTGTTTGGCCTTGCAGACTTGTTTTGTCCAGAAGGTCATGTGACCACATGCTATAAAACCAGATATAACTAATTACTTTATATTAATGATTGACTGACTTGGATCATGTGTTGATGGGAGCATATAATGATGAAGACTAACTGTGGATTCAACTACTATTTTGAATGATTTGCAGAGAGAAGCGGAAACTATCCGCAGTCTTCGTTCTCTTGGACTTTGTAACCTGATGTTTATCATTTTCTTGGGTCTGTCTGCTGTTTAAACTACGGGGCAAAATTAGTATTTCATTAGTTGAGCTTTGGAAGCATACTGTTAAGGGCTAATAATAGCTGTTCAAAACTGTTGTCCTGGGAAGAAGAGATCATGAACTAAGGACCTATCAACATCACAGTCTTTGCTGGCATGGCTGTTTTAGCAGAATCCCCAGTCGATAATGCAGCATTTCCTAACAGATGTGGTGGGAGAAACCTCCCTAAGGTTCGTTGTCTAGCTGTAATTTGATTGACAGACAACGCGGGTAAAGAAAGACAGCTGTTTATTTGCTGGAGCAAAGACCATAAAGCCAGCAAAAGGCAAAATGGCCCCCCCTAAGGGTGAGGTGATCTTTTATACTTATTACAACAAGGCAAGACTTCATGGTTAACAAAAAAAGCAATACTTGGGCGGTGCTTTTCAAATCTTTGTAACAGCATATTTTTATTAAGCTGAACTAGCACTTTTAAAAGCTAAAAGTTAAGTAACAGTAACATTATAATATGTTAGCAAAACCTTACACAGTAGTAGATACTTCTCAAGGACACAACCACTGCACCCAGAACAATGGTTTCCCTGTCTTATCTTACTTCTTGCTGTAGCTGATTTTTCAGCACACAGACACAGATCCACTTTTTAACTCAGAAAATGCTTAATACAGTTAAAATGATTACTTGACACAAACAAAGGCTTAGCTATCAATCTGCCTTGTGGTCAGCTGTATTGCTAGGCCACAGGTCATGCCTTGTATTCAGCTGTAAAGCTAATACTTCTTAATAATCTAAATTATTGTAAACCTAACAGTATGCTTATCAGAAAACTATTCTATTTCAGGGTAATAACAAACCTGCGCACTACACAGAAAATAAAGCAACACTTCCCAGAATACTGAAAACGAAACATGCAAAAGCAATATCAGCATAGATGCACTTATAGTAAGGTTGTTGGTTTATAGAAAGATGGTTATTTTGTTTTTTAGGAGTTTTTTCTGGCATAGTTTCATCATCTGAACACTCCCAGCTGGTATAGCTGTGCCAGCAGAATGCAAACCATTACAAAGTGGATCATCCTGTTAGAGGGTTTCCAAGGAAGAGAAAACAACTAAAAAAACATTAGTTCAGTTGAAATGTGTTGCAATAGTGTCCTGTTTCATTGTTTCAAAACAGAAATGAATCTGCTGGCAGTTAAAAAGGTGTCATTTTTTTAAACCAGATTTTAGGTCGGGGGTGGGCAAAATGTGGCCTGCAGGCCGGATGTGGCGCACCAGGCCATTCTATCCAGCCTGTGGGGCCCCTAAAAATGTAGAAAAATAATATTTATCTGCCCTGGTCTGCCTGCCATGTGGCCCTCAATGGCTTGCCAAAACTCAGTAAGTGGCTCTCCACCCAAAATAATTGCCCACCCCTGCTTTAGGTTGTGTTAGGAGTGATACATAGTTTTGACAGGTCTGCAATTGATGAGGGTACTACACATGTCTTCCAGTTTCAGAGCTGGTAGCAACAAATCTGAAAAAAAGAATTCAAAGCCTATCATCCACGTAGTGAACACTTCTTCTCTAGACAGTCCCAGAAGGCAGGAGGAGCTCTATACTTCATATGTAATCTTGCGAGTTCTATAGAATTTTTAACAAGGCCAATATTTTGAATAGGATGGGATGGAAAAAGCCTTGCATGAATCTGTGGTAAGAGGATATCAGCGAAAGTGTGTGTGATTTAGACTCTGCAATTTACAAAGCTATTGTGTGGTATATACGCTTGTGTTCATATAGATTCAGAGTAAGCTACTTATTACAAAGTGACAGAAAGAGCAGGTAAACACCACACTACTGTGTTACAAGAATCTTATGCTTCATCTTTGTGTCATATTGCACTAAAAGTGCAGTTATACTGGGTGGCTATAATCATGAGTGACTAAAGCCATGAAGTGCAAGTACTTGGAGCTTTTTGCCAGGATTCTGAGAAAGAACAGCCTTATCAAGGATATCAGATTATTAACGGATAATCCCTTTCCTTCAAGGAGTAATTCCCAAATGGCAAGTGTCACAACAAAATGGAGGAGGATCTCTTCTCATGACAGAGATTAGGTACTGGCACCAAACCAATAGCAAGATGCACCTTACTTCCTTCTCTAACTGAGCTACATTGTAGCTTTTAAAACTGTACAATTATTTCTTGTGAACACTGCCAGATGCACAGCCTTTGAGACTGAGGGCATCCATCCATAAACCATATGTACATACATAATATTCATACAGTGTTTGTTCTATTTAGTCAGTATGCCTCATATCTTATCTGAAGGACAAGTGCTAAGGATAAGCAGGTAATTTTAGTCTCCTGTCACTCTGATTTATAATATTGTGATAGCCATTTTGTGCTAGTGGAGTCGACCACAGACAGATTTTTACTTCAGGGTAGCTAGTTTTAGGTCAACCCTGTACCCCCAACATTAGTTGACCTTGCCCGACTATAGGGAAGCAAAATTCTATTACTCCTTGTTCCTGCTAGGATTTTACATCCCTATTGCTTATTTAATATTTAAATGTCTCTCTTTGCTCCTTCATTTTCTGTGGCAGTATCCATAAAGATGTTGTTTTCAGTGATGGATTTGTTGGTTAAATACTGTGCACTTGTGTTTTCATTTCTGAAAGGACTGTAGCCTTTTTGCTTTTACATTGTTGTATAGTACTAAACTACAGCTTTACCAATGAAGCATAACTTCGGAAAAACTAGAGAGTAAGCACTGTAATATGGCAATTTATTGCTCAAGCAGTATTTGTGTGCAGTTTTTGGCATGCAGCTTGAGATTACACTTAGAGAATGAAGTAAGGAGCATATTGCCATTGGTTTGGTGCCAGTACCTGCTCGCACTCTCTCTCTCTCTCATGTAAAGAGATCATCCTCCTTTTTATTGTGACACTTGCTGTTTGGAAATTACTCCTTTCAGGAAAGGGATTATGTGTTAATAATCTGATACCCTTGATAATGCTGCTCTTTCTGAGAGTCCTGGCAAAAAAATCTCACTGGATTTTGTTACACTTTTTTTGGCAGGGGGTGGAGGAAAAGGGAGGAATACATCTGTTTATAAAATAATAACTTTGGTTTTTAAGTGAGCGTGCAAGGTGCATTAGTATCAACCAGCTTCTCTCTTTCACAGGAAAAGTTGCAGACCCTTAGCATCAAATTTAGGGAAGAATAGAGTAGTCTTAAATTGACATTACATTGCATACTTGCCCAGTTCCATTTTCCTGCATGTTACACTAACATAGATGTCCTCTTGATGCCCTGCTTAGGCTGTCATATTAAGGCTGTATCTATACATGCACACAGCACTGGGCACTCTTAATTGATTAAAAAATAGATTAAATCAAGTTTACTGAAGCTTTATATTGACTTGACTGTCCAGACAGGTGTTTGCATTGGTTTAATTAAATCAGTTTTAAAATACTCTTAGTTAAACCCATACAAATTGTTACATAAAAAGGCCATGTACAGAATTCAGGTTGAACTTGAACTTGCTTGACAAATCCTATTTCCTTTTACGACCAGGTGACCTATCACCTGGACAAGGGAGAGGAGATTGATGTTGTATATCTTGACTTTAAAAAAGCTTCAATCTGGTATCCCATGATCACCTCTTGGCAAAACTGGCCAACTGCAGCCTCGGGTCCACCACGATCCGCTGGCTGGGGAATTGGCTCTGTGGTTGAACCCAGAGGGTGGTGGTTAACGGAAGTCAATCGGTGTGGTGTCTTGTGACCAGTGGGGTCCCTCAAGGCTCTGTCCTTGGGCCTATATTATTCAACATCTTCATTAATGATGTGGACATTGGAGTCAGAAGCAGATTTGTCAAGTTCACCGATGACACCAAACTTTGGGGTAAAGCATGCACATCTGAGGACAGCAGGGTGATCCAGGCTGACCTCAACAGGCTCAGGAAATGGCAGAGGAGAACCTGATGGTGTTTAACACTGAAAAATGCAAGGTTCTCCACCTTGGGAAGAAAAACCCACAGCATGCTTATAGGCTTGGCAGTGCTACGCTGACTAGCACTACGGAAGAAAGGGACTTGGGGGTCATGATTGACCACAAGATGAACATGAGCCTTCAGTGTGGTGCTGCTGCTAG